TATTTCCTTGGCGAAAGCAAATCGAGACATTTGGAGCGATAAACGGATCGAAAACTTGGAGACTTTTTGGAAACAGTAAGCTTCAGGGGAAAAAATCAATAAGATAACAAGATTGAATACTTCAATTAAGTTGGAGTGAACTTCGAAAGGACTTCAATACGAGATTTAATTGCAAAGTTTCACGATGGGAAGTTAATTGCTATAAATGACGACGTTCCTCGATATCTTCGTTACAGGAAAATTCGTTCAAAAATTGACGAAAATATCCGTAGATTGCAGCGCGCTTCGCCAAAGGCCACTCATACAGGCTGTGCAAAAAGTTGCGGGCCGGCGAGATATCTCGGAAATAAAACATTTTAGAGGAAAATGTTCGATACAAAAGCTGTCGGGTGTCAAGCGGTGCATTAAGGCCGAATCAGACTAGCGATTGTCGACGCGGATTGGATTTGGCGATTGTCTTCTAGCCAATGAGAGCAATTATAGCGATTTAGCTGACTCTCATTGGCCAGAGGACAATCGTCAATCGTCAATCATCAATACCAAACCGAGTCGGCAATTGCTAATCTGATTCGGCCTTTAGACGAACGATATTAGTTATGACGAATTTGGTTGCTTGCACTTGGGCTGGTTGCCTAGTGCGTACTAAGTGCACACTAAGGCTTGTTTATAGTCAAAATTCTATATTTAACTTTCTCTTAATTACATGTTCGAAGAGTATTTAGTCAAAAACATGATCCGTATGAACGCTATACAGAGCATTCTTTTTAATAAAAAATATTTCAAGAGGTATTTAAGACGAGATTTTTAAGACGATCCTTAAATATAAAAATTGATTATAAACAAGTCTCAGTAAGCACTCAGTGAGCACAGTACATATGCATTCATTGTCAGTGCAAGCGATCGAACTCACTATTAGATCCTGGATTGTGAGTTTTCAAGGTCGGGGAAAGGCCACCTTGAGTTTTTAAACGGAAACCCCTGCTTTATTACATATTCTTGCAGCTGCTGTCAAAACGTTCATACGAAGCACTGCTGACAAACTCTTTTTTCCGCTGAGAACTTTCCGAGTCCCCAAAGTTGAAGCACAAGTTTTAAGATGCACACCGCGTCGGTTCGTCCGCGCGGGAACTTAAACGGACCATCGATATTCAATACGCGTTTAAGAATCGGAGTTCGAATTTGTCAGAGCAACATCAAAGAGCAGAGGGGGGGGGGGGGGGAGAGAAGGAAGCAACAGAGGTATAAAAGAACGTTGGAACATTCACAAACAAACGTCGGCCCACCCACATGTGCCATATTGTTTTTCTACGTATCGCAAAGCATCGTCGATCGAGTACAGCTTGGATTTCCGGTTCGCTCTAAAGGCTAAATATAATAACGCTGCAGCGGCGTTGCGTGGATGCGTTTGCAGCCTCGCGATGAAACGTTTCCGCGGTGCTCCCCGCTATCCGCGCGCGGCAGGTAACGAAGCTTCCGTCAAAATGGCAAATGTGTAAGGGGCAATTTCACAAACGTCGGTTAACTGTTAACCAGAGTTCAGTCAACTCCCTACCTTTTCCCACCTTGTTCTCTAAGGGCCAGTTTCACAAACGTCGGTTAACTGCTAACCGAAGGTTAATTGATTCTCTGTCTTAGAGAACAAGATAGAAAAAGATAGGGAGTTGGCTGAACTCTGGTTAACAGTTAACCGACGTTTGTGAAACTGGCCCTAAGACCCATTAGCGCAAGAGGGGGACGATGATCCCCACCGTGAGACGCGAGCGCGGAACGAAATTTCGATTATCATTCGGACTCGTCGCTCTTGCCCGGTTACGTCACTGCAGTTACAGAACACCCCGCGTTGCTGCGTGTCGTCGAAAAAGCCAATATTCCGCGTGATTACTCTGCTGTAGCGACACCCGTACGCGTTGTACATCAGCCCGTAGTTCATAATCGACTCGGTTCGAATGAGCAGGGCCGAAGCGACGTGCGGTAACTCATCCGTAAAGAGAACGCGCGCTCGTCTCGTAGGAAATTTACCCGGTAATCCGCGTCAGGGTTTTTCCACGGGATTTCGTTTGCGTTTCGAGTCGTGCGAACGTTCCTGCGAGCGGCTCGCGATTCCCTCGCGTAGACTACTCCGCGCCGGGAACACGATCGAGAAATAAGTATTTCGCAGGGTATATTTTTATTATTATTCATAATAAATAGGGGTGCATCATCGGGGAGGTAGGCACTTATCAATTTTCTGTGAGAAAAGTGACGGGCCAGGATTCGAACCTAGGACCTTCCGCTTGCCGGGCGAATGCTCGTCCAACTGAGCTATCCAGGCCCACATGTATATTTTTACATCAGAGTGCACGTCGGGATGACGAGCTAGGTGTTTGTAAGGTGTATGTTTATTTTTCCGTCAAAATAATCCCCGCTGGGCATTGGCGTACAAGATATTGGTCAGCGGTTTCCCCCTCGGAAAGAACTTTTGTGCAATGTATAACTTGAAAATACTTAAAAGTATAATAAAGTCGGTGAATCATATCAGATTGGATCATTATTTGTAGAACGCTCTGGGACATAGTCCCCTATCACGTAGTGGCGTAGAGAGAGAGGGGGGGGGGAATCTACATGGAAAGTACCGCGCGTTTTCGAAAAGAGACATCGACGATCTAGAAATTCCGAAAACTGTAATCTCGAAAGAAATCCTTATCAACGATAAGATTCGTCTTCTTAGAACAAATAATTCCTGCACGTGGCATACATTTTCTGCGTTTCGAAAACAACAGACAGGTTTGGGCTGATCGCTAGATAAGAGGGGCGATAAATCAAGTTGCTTGATCGACGATCGGCTGGTAGACGCCAGGGACAATTTTTCCTTCGATCATGTAGAACGCGCCGATATACGACGGGAAATTCTGCGCCTGAGGAACAGGAATCTTTTGTGAGGCGGACCCGGACCTAGGACGAACGATTGTGTGACGAATGTTCCACGGTATAGAATTCGCCAACGGACGCTTCCTTTGAAATCGAAAGGTTGAATGTTTGCCGAGTCTCGTTCGCAGTGATCGAGGCTATAGTCCGCCCGTTCACAATAGCCACCGAGACGTAAATTCTTTCGCGCGAGACCTGTTCGCCGGAGTCATCCTCGTTTTTTGGCGTTTCATTTGAATTTATATAGGATTCCGGCGAACAATCGCGGAACGAATGTTTCACGACGACGGAGCAGCTCTGGACTTTCCCAATTTAACAAATAGGAGTTCGATCACACGGGATTTTCGTCGCACGAGGGCTGGTGATGGGTTTTTTTTTACTTCAATCGGATTCACCTTGAATCGCACTATTTTTCAGTAGAAAGAGAGAGAAAGAGAGAATTGTACCTATGGGAATCTAGAGAATCCCTCCCGTTTCTCTTTGGCCTCTTATCTTCGTGTCTAATCGAAAGGATTCTTTGAAGCGTACAGAGTACACTTATCAGTTATATCGAATTTCTGAGAGCCAAGCGCTAGTTTTACAGACAGACATTTCGTGTTCGAAATGAACCGAGAGACATCATAATTATGTCGCATTAGTGATTCTCTTTTGCACTCAATTAACAAGAAACCCCGCGTTTCGCACTCATTGTTTTCGAACGCGAACGAATATTGTGCACACAGAAAACGAAAGATGTCCACGCGGCGGGTAAAACTTGCTTGTCAAGATCGATCGATAAAAGTTCCGACGTATTGTTACGGACAAAATATTACAATAATAACACGACCGCAAAGATACTCGAACGATTAAGAAACCATCGCGAAAACAGTCGAATCTCGCAGCGGTGACTATTTTTTTTTTTCGCACGACTTTTCGACAAATGCCGTGTGATTATTCGGCTGAGTCACCGCGAGACCGTTGAACATTCGTAAGATTCGTGCAATTAACGGTGGCAAACGATAAAAATGCAGGCCTGCACTTGCGGAGCATCGAGGAGCCGAGGATGACGGCGGAGACGGCGGCCCCCTGCGTGCAAGGGGTACAGGGAGCCCAGAGTGGCGGCGTGGCGAGCCAGAATATGCTGCAACAGGTGCAGGATGGAAACGGCGGTGGCAGCGGCGGCGCTTACTATTCCTCGACTTCGACGGCGTACGATCCGGAGTACGCCCGTATGGAGTCCTGGCTGGACGAGCACCCCGACTTCGTCAACGATTACTTCCTCAGGTAAATCGCTCCCTCCGGAGCCCCTTGCCGGCGGACGAAGCGGGCGGACTCACGCTAGGTTCATCGTCCTGCGAGTATATCGACGGTCCCGTACTATCTGGAAAAATGTTAAAAATAACTGCGGCCAAGTTGTCCCCGTCGCGTCTATACCCTTTTCCCTTTTCTCGCGTGTCCCTTTTCTTCCGTTATCCACTTCTTTTATCGCGACACTGTTCGAGCTCTTGTCGCGTAGATATTCCCAGTCAGCAAAATGTTAGCACATTGGCAGGAGATTTATCAGAAGCCCACACCAAAACCATAGCCATCTGTGTCCGCATTTGGCTTTTGTTTTGGCAACGTGTCGAGTATATATCAGTTCCTGCGTGCAATCTGCAGTCTTTCTGCCTTCAAAATTTGTAGCGGGCATTTGACGAAATCTGCTCCGGCAGATTTGGCTACCTGGGTTGGAAAGCATCGCGGTGAAAAGTAGACAAGGCACACGACGCCTTTACATACGTAATTACAATTTTTGGTGTTTCGACCGGCAGGAAGGTGACACGGCAGACCGTGGACACGTGGCTGGTGTCACACGCGACGCCGACCTCGTCGTCCAGCAGCTGCGTGGAGCTTTCGAGCCCGACGCACGTCGGAGCCGGGAACTCGTCCGGTGGACGAGGCGGCGCCGGCGGCTCGGGCGCCACGACACCCGTACGCAAAATCTCGGCGCACGAGTTCGAGCGCGGGGGTCTCCTGAAGCCGATCGTCAACACGATCGACGGCACGCCGACCTTCCTGAGCGTGTCGACGAGCGACGCGTGTCAGCCGGGCGGGCCGCAAGTTGGATCCGGAAGCTCGAACCGCCCGCAAAGACGGTCGAGGCACGAGCTCAGGCACCTCGACGAGAAGGATCTCATTTTCGAGCTGGTAGGTGCCCCGCTACGTTGTACGACTCCAAGAGTCTAACTTCTGTAAGGTCTCTACAGGTCAAGGACATTTGCAACGAGCTGGAAGTGAGATCGTTGTGCCATAAGATCCTGCAGAATGTGAGCACTCTCCTACACGCGGATCGCGGTTCGCTGTTCCTCGTCCAGGGGGAGAGAAGCGGCTCCGCCACTGCCGCTGCCGCGGCCGCCGCCGTCGCAGCCGCCGCCACGACCGTCGCCAGCACCGATGTACCATCTTCCCCGAATCACGAAGCCGCTGCGAGCAACTCCGACGAAAGCAATCCGCAGCGCGATCAGTCTTCCGCGAGGAGCAGGTGTCTGGTGTCCAAGTTATTCGACGTCTGTTCGAGATCGACGTTGCTGGAGATGGAGAAGAAAGACGAAATTAAGATCCCCTGGGGTACCGGAATCGTCGGATACGTCGCTGAAAGCGGGGAACCCGTCAACATACCGGATGCTTACAAGGCAAGACTTGGAAATACCGTTTCAGCGCTTTTCGCCTATCGTCCGTATCGAATGAGGACGCGATGCGGATCGCATCTGTTTAATCGATTATTAATCATCGGGAATTCTCGATGAATCATGATTTGTTTACACTCGTAACGCGATTGCTCTCGATGCGAACAGATGTGTGCGAGTATACTTTATCTGTTACACGCAGAGACCTTATCTATATCTCGATTATCACAAAATTTCGTGAGGGTAATTGGATGCATTGTTCAGCTGCGTTGCATATCCAAGAAGCTGTGAGCACTCTCCAGCTGGTTATGCTGGAATCAACGGCACATCCGCCCAATGTTTACGAGTTGAGAATGATGTAAACGTTTCAGGACTCGAGGTTTAATCGCGAAATCGATGCTTTAACGGGATACCGAACGCGTGCCTTACTGTGCATGCCTATCAAGGATTGCAACGGTGATGTAATCGGGGTGGCACAGGTGATCAACAAGCTCGGCGGCGAGGGCCAATTCACCACGCAGGACGAGAAGATTTTCGCCGGTTACTTACAGTTCTGCGGTATCGGCTTAAGAAACGCTCAGCTTTACGAAAAGAGCCAATTGGAGGTGAAGAGGAATCAGGTGAGCGTCAATTTCGCCGCATCGATCGAGATAATGAGGCGAGGGATCTAATTCGTTCTTGACGCTAGGTTCTGTTGGATTTGGCTAGGATGATTTTTGAGGAACAAAGCACGATAGAGCACATGGTTTTTAGAATTCTCACGCACACGCAATCGTTGATTCAATGCCAACGTGTTCAGGTAATGGATGTAAACGTCCGCCGTTCGTGAGGAGAAACGTAATTACGCGAGAAAAGGAGCGCGCTACAATGCCGTGATTGCTTTCAGGTGTTGCTCGTGCACAAAGCTTCAAAGGGGAGTTTCTCGCGCGTCTTCGATTTCGAAGCGAACGATCTCGCTGGCGAGGATTCTGATTCTCGCACTAGGTGAATCAAGTTTGTAATTAGTCTAGCTTCTTGTTCGATAAGTTTACACTGGAGACCTAACAAAGCCTCTTCTTTTCGCAGTCCTTTCGAGAGTAGGTTTCCTATTAACGTTGGTATCACGGGTTACGTAGCGACAACCGGTGAAGTAAGTATCGCACGATTAATGTTTTCTTTTCAACCACCAGTTTTGCCCGGAGACGATATGAGAGACTTTTCAGACTGTCAACATACCGAACGCTTACGAAGATTCGAGATTCGATCCGTTGGTGGACGACGGTACCGGCTTTAGGCATCGTACGATTCTTTGTATGGCCATTAAGAATTCGTCCGCTCAGATAATCGGCGTCATTCAGCTCATCAATAAATTCGACGATCTGCCTTTCACCAAGAACGATGAAAATTTTGTCGAGGCGTTCGCGATCTTCTGCGGGATGGGAATTCATAATACGCATATGTGAGTGTACTTGTCTATCTTGAACGTCGTATCTCGAACACTTGACAATTTCACCTATCGGGTCCTCAGGTACGAGAAGGCTGTGATAGCGATGGCAAAGCAAAGCGTCACTTTGGAAGTACTGAGTTACCATGCGTCGGCATCGTTGGAGGACGCGCAGAGATTGAGGGTTGGTATGGCTTTCATCCTCGCGGGAACTCAGCTATAATTTTGAAACCGTGTAAACGCTTATCACTCGTCTATTCTCCGTCTCGGCAGAGTTTAAGGATCCCGTCATCGGCGCATTTTCAACTGCACGACTTCAAGTTCGACGACATACACATGGAGGACGACGAAACCCTCACTGCGTGCCTCAGGATGTTTCTCGACTTGGACTTTGTTGAACGGTTTCACATCGACTACCACGTACTCTGCCGTTGGTTGTTGAGCGTAAAGAAGAACTATCGGAACGTTACGTATCACAATTGGCGACACGCCTTTAACGTGGCCCAAATGATGTTTGCTATCTTGACGGTGAGTTTTCTTCTTCTATGTCGCAATGTCGATTATAATTTGTGATGCGGGAATTGTGATCGGTACATCGTTACCAGGCTACGCAATGGTGGAAGATCTTTGGTGAAATCGAATGTCTCGCGCTCATCATCGCATGCTTGTGTCACGATCTCGATCATCGTGGGACAAACAATTCTTTTCAAATTAAGTGAGCACTTTTACTTACTTTCGCACACGTGCACGTCCCTCGTCTGATTACGGCGAGAGTGTACGAGATATATTTCGGTTTTCAGAGCCTCGTCGCCGCTGGCACAGCTGTACTCGACTTCGACGATGGAGCATCACCACTTCGATCAGTGTCTGATGATCTTGAGCAGCCAGGGCAATCAGATTCTGTCGAATCTTTCGCCAGAAGAATATTCGCGCGTGGTAAAGGTGCTCGAAGAAGCGATACTCTCTACCGATCTGGCCATTTACTTTAGAAAGCGCGGCTCTTTCCTTAATCTGGCACACAGTGGTAGCTACAACTGGGCGTTCGGCGATCATCGGGAGCTTCTACGCGGGATGCTGATGACGGTCTGTGATCTGGCTGCCATCACGAAACCGTGGGATGTCGAAAAGAGAGTAGCCGAACTCGTTAGTAGCGAGTTTTTCGAACAGGGCGACATAGAGAGGCGGACGCTCAACATTACGCCCATTGTGAGTGGCGCAAACATAATTGATCTAAACATAAACAATTGTTCTCGTATAAACGCATCCGCTTCTGGTATTGCAGGACATCATGAATCGAGAGAAAGAGGACCAGCTACCGATGATGCAAGTTGGCTTCATCGACTCGATCTGTCTACCTATCTATGAGGTACAGCGCGGCGAGAAATGATAACTAATTTTTTTTTAATGAAAATTTTAATGAAAATTTAATCTTTCCGCGTCTGTGCTTACGTTGACAGGCGTTCGCCAATCTGTCGGACAAGCTTGTGCCGCTCGTCGACGGAGTCAGTATGAACAAGCAACATTGGTTGGAGATTGCTGAGAGCAAGAGCCAGGCGGAGACCTGCACGAATCACGACAGGACGCCGTCGGCATCGGCGTCCGACAACGAAGAGACCAGCGAACAAGCGGACCAATAGTCATTAAGGATGGCGTTACTGGCTGTTAAAGTCGAATGTACCAAACGCAGCGGCCATCCGCCAGTCGTCAGAAAGAGAAATACGGGATATAGTTTTTATTGTCCTCGCGGTCCGTCTCCCGCGACGTCCATTTTCCTCGTCTCAATTATCACGGCCTGTGTCCTGCGCGAATACGAATAGGCGATCCGTCCGTTTAACGGACTCTGCGTTAATACCTTCCCGTCAATTTCCGTCAGGTCTACTGATCGAGTAGATCGAATATACAAACTCTCTCGCGTTGAAATGTGTATGTGTGTGTGCGTGTGTGCGTGTGTTTCTCGATCAAAATCATTCTATAAATTTCATATACAACAAGTTGAAAAAGTTAAATTTGAACTGAATATGAAATGGACGATCTTGCGAAATACGATGAGAAAGGTCTTGTTCTCTCTCCCTCTTTCTCTCTCTTTCTGCCTCGTATCCTGTCCCTCAATCCTCCTCTCGCCCATTTGTCCAACTTCCTAGACACTAAACCGATCAATCTCCATATGCTACTACTGTACCTGATTGTATTGTACATATATTTACTGTGACACAGACCTTCGATGTAGAGAGAGAACATAAAGACCGGGGCGTGATTCTCGTAAATGATGAGTTTTCGACGCGAGCCAGCTCGTCGAAGGACACAAGCGAAACGGCGCCTATACGCGCGATTAGATTACGTATTTGCATACCAAAGTGTAAATTTATACATCGAGATTGGTCGCGACTATCGGTCAGCCGGCAAAGTAGCGGCGCGAGCGGCCTGTTGACCGCGTAATTAATTAACGGCCTGGCATCAGCAGACACGCTCGGCTTTCTCGATTGCTTTGCTTCCTGTTGCAAAAACGATTTTGGATTCCTCGAATCGATCTCGAACCCTCCTCCCCCACAGTCGTTTTCGTCTTCGCGTAGAGCTGTTGTATCGCTAGAGAAACTAACAATACGAAAGCTGTAGAAACGTTCATCAACGGCATAAATTTGCGTTACCCTTGTTGTACTCTGAAGCTCACAACGGACTGTACATACATACGGACAGGTAATAAGGAGATTAAAAATTGCTCTCCGTGTGTTCTACCGTTTTCGTTAAACGTTACAGAACGTACGGTAAAACTCACCATCGCGGAGGCGCGACACGTGTCGCGCGACTCGATAGCGAGGGACATGCATATCATTAGATAGTCGCCACGGAACGGGATAGCCCTCATATCCGGCATCATATCATACGGTGGAAAGCGGAATTGGCACGCGCGGGCGGACGATAAGGAGGAATCTAATGCCGCGTCCGACAGATATTCGAATACCACGGCTCTGAGAAGACGAAGACAGTCTAGGCATTTAGTGAGATCGCAACGTGTGATCGTTACTTATAGCGCGCGACTTCCTACAGAGACTTGTTCCTTCAATTCCTCCAATCTTTAAAGTGATTTTTCTTTTTTTTTTTTACTTTAATGAGTCCAAGCTTGATACTTGGTCCTGCGTCGTCCCCTCCCCAGCGACGACGACGACGACGACGACGATAAGACGCGGGGTAAAGTGATGAAATATGTAACAAGTGTGATAAAGTTTCCTTGTGTGCGTGTAACTACAGAGAGCGCGGATGTATGCTCGAAAGAGGAGAGAAAGCGAGCGAGCGAGAACGGCTAATATATATTGTACAGTAATTTTTGTGTAAATTATATTGCGAAGAGTGGCGTGTACGTCGAATTGTTACGATAACGATCATAGCGCGAGTCATACATATATTATACAAATACATATATATTCTATAAACAATATCTAATATATTAAAAAAAACGAAAATAAATTAATGCGAATATACGAAGCGTGTTTCATCAGCGCGTCCCCTCGAACGCGCGTCCTCGTTCGTTCAATCGTGCCGTCCGATATCCCGTATATACTGGTGAGGGGAAGGAGTTTCTTTTTGCGGCTCGCTTAATTGCGCCTAGAAATGACGGCCCGTTAAGGACGCGCCGCCCGTCCCCCGCCGCGTCCGATCGATAGTTGACTAATTGCGCACGATCACGTGGACTGATCTCGCAACGACACCAATTTCGCAACGTCTGATACCTACGCCCGGGGGGAGCCAACCTTGATCGTCGCGTGCACTTCGATGCGTGCCAGATGCGCGCGACGAGAAGGCCGGGCCAAGGCGGGCCGTAAGCTCGAACACGTGCGGCTGAAAAATCTCGCCCCGTTGGTATTTTCCATCAATTTTATTCCACTCGTCTCGTCTTACAGCGCGACGCGGATTTTTCCGCGGCTCGGGTTCGCGGAGACTGAGCCGATCGAAGGGGGAATTACGCCCGTTACTGCTCCCGTTGCCGTCGTCGCGCGATCTCGTGACTCCGCATAACAGACAGAACTACATCGTCGCCGGCGCTGACGAGCTTATTGTAGACTTGCGCGTGTGTGAGTTGACTTATTGGCTCTCCGTTCAGCCGGACGATCACGTCGCCCGCTTGCAGACCAGCTGTATCGGCCAGGCCTTCGATCGTCACCTTGTCCAACACACAAGCGAGTTTAATGATAACGCGGGAAGAGAAAAATGTATCGTTTCGATGTATCCCTCCGCTTGGAAACAATCGCTCGCGATTGATCACTCTGGAGTTTAATTCGACTTCACTCGGGGATACATCGAAGGGAGCCACGAGCAATGTCCGTCGTAGATTAAGTCTTACCCTGACGACGGTTAAGGGGAAAGTAAAGTCCACGCCTCCGGAGAGCCGCAAGCCCCATGGTTGGGCGTTACATCGTGACAGTTTAACGTCGGTGGTGACGACGTTCGCCATGTCGACGGGGAGTTTAGCGCAATGACGAGTGGTTCGTTCGCTTCGCTCTGAAGGTGGACCTGGCGCGCGGGTTCTTTCCAATTGATCGCAAAGTCGCCACCGTTTTCGAATGGTGGATCTGAAATCGAGGTTTTAAATCCCGGAGAGTGCGAAAATCTCTCCTATTACGGCTTGAGCGGAGATGCGTCTGTCTTATACTCTTGAGACACATTGTGCGTTACTTCAAGACAGAGGCCCATATTCCAAGTTCTCTCTTACCGATGCCTGCAAAAGTGCCTGTAAAAGATCTTTTCGGCCAGTGGGAATCCTTCGAGGCCAATTTCAGTGGCACTTTTGGCGACAAAAGAGGACTCAAATACGGACCAAAGACTTGGACACGTAAGACGTTATCTTATAAGAGTACAAAACAGCCATTCTGCTGAGGCCCTTGGGGCCCACCGCGACGAACCTGTTACCTCAAATCAGCGAGATCGTCCCGGTGGAGCGCGCCTGGGGGGTCGAACACTCGCGACGATCGGCGATCGCTTGGTCGTCTTTGCGCGGCGCGATTCGAATTTCGTTCCTCGGCCGAGATGAGAGGCAGAAGAGAGAGAGAGAGAGAGAGAGCTGCGCCCGCGCCGAACCAACATCCTATTTCCAATACGACGAAGGGGGATGACATGCGCGAGGCGCGTCCCGCAGTTTCGTACGACGAGTACGAACCAGCGCGGCGCGGCGGAGCCGATCGAATCGGATCGGCGGCGATCGGCGAAAAAGGGATACGCGTCGAATCGTCTCCCGATTTCGCCTCCCATCCCCCCCGCCCGCCGAGTTCATCACGGGGGTTGTCATCTCCACGCAGTGTCGAGAGCGTCCTCTCCCGCGCGCGCGGTGCCGCGAGCTTATCGGGGCGAGGGCGACGTTTGATTTTCGCGTCGAAGGGCGCACGCCCCGACCACGGGGTGACCCCCGACCCTCGGCCCCCGGCCCCCGGCCCCGGTCCCGGCGATACAGCTGAGTCCTCGCTGTGTCACGAGCGAGTCCAGTCCACTCGGACCTTCCGCCCGACTCGGGAAAGGGAACCTGAACGTGGACCCGCCGCGCTGTCCCCCCCGCGTTATCCTGGCCGTACCCCCGTGCGCCCCCGTGCCGACGTGTTGCCGCCCGCACGCGCGGCGCCCCGCCGCGCCGCAATAAATCGCGCGCGTTTCCTCCGGCGGCTAATTGCCAATCGTCCCTCCGGATCTCCCTTCGCGCGCGCGTCCACTGCGCGGGAGAAGCGGGGTGGTGCGTTAAATGCCGAGGGTAAGTGGGACGATTATTCCGCCGTCCAGCTGGGCGCGATTCGTGTGCTCCGCAACCGTGTCCGCGGCCCCGCGTCGCGGTGACGTTTCCTTTCTTTCCTTTCGCATCTTTCCGGCGCGTTGTAATGTAAAATGGACCGCGGTCGCGCGTGACGTTCGGGGTGGCACACTTTTGAAAACATCACGCTTCGAGAGCGTGGGTCGTCCCTCACGACGAAGGGCCGCGTAGAAAGTCTTTCGCGCGCGTTTTTTTCCCCCCTCCGCGCACGTCCGAGAGATCTCGTTTATTATTTCCGTCCTCGCGCTTGATCTCCCTCGAGATATTTCGAGAGCCGTCAACGGGGCGAGATGAGACCACCCGGTTTCCCGACGGTCCCTCGTGCGAGCTGCCCTTTGCAGAAACACGGTACGGCGGACTCGGTAAAAGCAACCAGCAAACTGGTGTATTTTGAACCTTAAAATAATACACTCGCACGCGCGCGCGTGCACGTACAGAGGGAACTGTCGATATTCGTGTTCATCGATTTTTCGAAAAAAAAAAAACAAGGAAAAGCAGTCAAGCCTCGCGTCATAATAGCCGACCGCAATAAATTATCAAGCGTCGCGTGTACGTGCGGGCGTGCGTGTGCATCATATTATTAATATTTCAGTGATCGGTGGGGGTGTCATGGTTCCGGTGAATGGAGATGTCCACCGTTCACGAGTAGCCCCGACTCGCTACGTGCGGACGCGCTTCCGTGCACTCTCCACGCGTAAGTTTCGCTGCGCTTTTCACGTGCGTGAGGAATGACAAGAGCCCGTCTTTCTCTCTCTCTCTCTCTCTCTCTCGGACGTTCCACGTTCATTCGTGCCAGAATTCAGACTGGAATCCCAGTCGTGATTCTGCTCGTCCTCTCTGAAGTTTTAGAGTGAAAGCAGAACCGTGGATTGAAGCATTCACTGTTTGCCTAGAGCGAATATTCGCCGCGATAGAGTGAATATTTCGCCCCGCGGTTCCTGCATTTTCGCTCGAAAAAACTTTAGGGAGTCGCGGGAGAGATGCGCGGAGAATCGAAACACGCGACACGCGTTGCGTGAGATACATTTAAGAGAGAGAGAGAGAGAGAGAGAGAAAAAAGTACGAATTCGCAAGTAAAATTCCGCGCCCGAATTCGACGCGAATCGCGGGTTCAAAATCAATTCGCGGCTTTACCCCCTGAAATTTTCGGAGCGAAAGTACCGCGGCGTGAAATATTCACTCTACCGGCGTAAAAATTTCAATATTCATTTCGTCGGAGCAAATGTTCACTCCAGGGTGAATATTTCACTCCGAGAGCTTGAGGTGGTACATCGATGCGGAATCGTACAAAATTCGCAAATAAACGAAGAACCGAGATAAATTCGCACGGCGACAAAACGAGGGGAGGGGGGGGGAGGAGAGCAGCGTGAATAAGCGTTAATTACGAACGCTAGATTGCAGACTAAACTCCCGTTTCGATACGCAGTTTAGTTCGGCGTATCGCGTGAAATAAAGTCAGGGGGACAGAGGCGGAGGGAGCGAGAGCTCGGGGGAGGGAGAGAGATCGGGAGATAGCGCGAGAGGAGCGAGGCTCCACGGGGTGGAGGGTGGACGCGGGTTCTGGGGGTAGCCGTGCCATGCCGGTGGCTGCATCGATCGTTTTCTACTGACGCTACAGCGCCCGTCTCCTACGGATGGACAATGCGACCTCGTCGCGCCAGAAAAATACTGTAAATCGCGATAACGGACGGCGCTCATATCTCGTCGTAATCGACCGTCGGGCGAATCGACGAGAGGCGTCGCGGACCTCGCCGCCCCGCCGAAATGAACACGTCGCGCGTATCGATCATCGAACCGATCGGAAACGCGACTTACACGAGCGAGACTCTCTCCCGCGTCCCCGCCGCGCGTCCCTCTGTTAATCAATCGCGCGTTTTGTCTCGTACGTGGCACTTTGTTTCCCTTCGTCCTTTTTTTTTCCTCACTGCGCTAACGAACTTTCTCTCCTTCCCTCTGTCGCGAGCCGATCGCGAACGCTTCCCTTCCCCCGCGAGGCGAAGCGAGACGCGCCGCGCGCCCCCGCCCCGGGGAGTACGATCGCGCGACGCGCAGCCGAGATGCGGGCGCGAGCGGAGCCGCGAGGGTCGAAGGGGTTGCCGAGGCTTATTCAAGGTTGAGCGAACCTCACGTGTCGCTTGTCAAAGGCCGGGTAAGTCGCTGGAAAATGGACTCTCCTATATATCCCGCCGACTATTCTATTTTACGACACGCGGAGGAAACGAGACGAAATCGAGCGGCCGGGCCGCCGATAGCCGTGCCAGTAATATTCCCGACGCTGTCCGAGGCGTGCGTCCTACTCGGTTTAAAATAGCAAAGTACTCTCCAGCGCGGCGGAAGAGAGAGCGAGAGAGAGAGAGTGGGAAGGGGACGGGGAGGAACGGGTGTCTCCGTTCTATCGCACGGCCAATTAGTCTGGCCAATTAATCCCGGTGATCGATTTGCGCGATCGATCGCGGCGTTCGATGGCGGCGCACGGCCGCGCGACGGAGCGCGCCGTCTACCCTGTTGCGTTGTCTGTTTCTCGTCGTAGGCGCGACGGCGCTTCCCCGCGGCGTTTCCCCGATGGAGAACCGAGTGGGCTGAAGGCTCGCGGGCGGAAACATGCCCGGACGGTCGCCGGCAAGGGCGTACGAGCGGCCCATTACGAGCGAGGGTCGCGGGCTCGCCGCCACTTGAATGTCACCGCCGGAGGTGAGGGATAAGAGCCGCGGCGAGAAGTAAGATACTTTGGCGTGAGCTATACGAAATCCTCCCTCGCAAATGCCTCTTCAGCACCCGCTGAATTTGTCCACGCGAGAGATACATCGCCAAATTACCTTACCTCCCACCCCCGATGAGCGTTTTACTTTCCCGAGTAAATCAACATCTCGGAGCTTTCGTTTCGTTACAAGAACAAATGACCAGGGCGCGGGATGGGCGAGTCCTGGCTCTCGGTCCTGCTCGCCGCCACGCTGACAACGATGACGATGATGGCGGTGATGACGGAGGCCGATTCATCCTCGACGCCGTCCCTGTCGACGGGCGCTCGTGACGACGTCGCCGACTCCAAACGGGTTTGTCCTCATCGACGCTCATTTCACCCCGACTATCCTTCCCTCCCTTTCTAACGCGCCGTTCCTCCGATTCTGCCCGAAGGCGGCCATCGAGGAAGCCCTGGACGTGATTGAGCAGGCATCGACGGGCTCCCTGGGCGAGGTGTGCGTCAGCACGGCGGGATTCAAGTCCCTCCCGGCTGGCGTCGCCCTGGACCCGAGGCGTTACGACACGGCGCGCCAGAAGGCCGACATGACCGCTATGGTGCTTCGGAATCTCGGGGCCGCCGAGGCGATGCGACGTAACGGTGAGTCGGGGGCCGCGACGCGGGGAATACTAATCGCGGATCGTCGTACACGAGGGAGGGTGAGCGCTACCTTCCCTCGCGAGCGCGATTAAATATCTCGGTGCGCGCTGTCCGACGAAATAAAAGGAGGGAATTGAAGCGTGACAAATGATCCGGAATTAGCGACCCCAATTCTAGTTCCCTTACTCTACCTGCCGCTTAATTGGCGGCACCTGTTGCGCGCGGCGAGCAACGCTGGCCCGCGCCGAAGGTGGGCCTCGCTCAACGCGGGCGGCCGCGGGCGCGAGGTGGCCACGGGCCCGCACGGACCCCGAGGACCGACCGCTAACGGAATCGCTGTAGCTCTTTTAGACGCCCTGACCAAGTCCCTGCTCGTCTCGGTGGACGACGCGGTCGAGGCGAGGGTGATCGCGCTCAACGCGTCCACCGGCACGGTCATCACCGCGGTGTGGCTGAAGCGCAGCCCCGGGAGCGTCGGCGAGCCCTCCAAGGTCGAGAGTCACGCGGTCCAGCCCGGATTTCAGCCGGACCCCAGCCTACCGTGGTTCGAAAACGCAGGCGGCAGCGCCGGATTGAGGTTCGCGGCCCGCCGTCTACTCTCGCGTACTCTTGCGCAACTGTGTATCCGCAGAAGCCAAACTTGCTCAGATCTTTCATCTTTCATTGCCGGGCGTCAATGACGCCGTTACGACTGCCCGTTACGGACGGTACAACTGCCGGAGAGACCTGCACGAAGAGATAAAACTCACTTTTTTTGTGCTTCCACACGGAGGGCATTTTTTCGTAAAATTTGTCCTAAATGCAACCGTCGATTGTCTCGCTCTCTCGCGTAAAAAAGACTGTTTGTAGTCAGATCTTACATTGAAGATCATCTTCAGACACTATGTGGCCAATAAAATGTTCCATACAGATAAACTTAAGACGGTCTTGAATAGAAGACCTGACTATGACTGCCGGGCCTAGTTTCTTATATGTTCTTTTGTACAACGTTTCTCCTCAATTGTACCGTCCATAACGGACCACTTTGTGTATGTCTTCCTAAAAATGTTACGCACGCACGCACGCACACGCACCTTTTCAGCACAATCTTGCACCCCGTCACGTTCATGCTTAAAATGTCGTCTTTCTCTTCTATCGCGGTGAACTAATGTATGTGGAAACGGAAAAATACGGGTCTGTCCACAGAAGAGGCTCGATTTTATTTTGTACGATATTTTATTTCCGAACTAAAGTTAAATCGTTTGAGTTGTACAAACCCTTAATTATGTGACTATTATCAATTATATTGATAAAGTTACGCGTATTTTCCAAAGATAGCTATTTACGTTTTTATTTCAAGCATCAAATAAATTTGCATAATTACTTTAGATGCGACACGCTTTGATGAAGAATTACGAGAAACTGTTTGAAATCATATCGTAATAGATATTGACTGCTTTGTTCGAACAATTTTAACTTTACATTTGAGAAAGATAAACGTTCCATTTTCAAAACCTAAGCTAAGCGTAAACGTTTAGCAAAGAAGTCTTATAATTTTGTCTACGAATTTACATGCTGCCCTAAAACACAAATTTTTCGAAGGTAATCTATGAAAAATGTCGACGTGTTAACGGTGGACAGACCCATATGTCCAAAACAATTCGGAAGAGAATCGCGCTGATCTTGTATGGGCGCTCCACGATCATTCATCATCCCTCATCATCCCGTACGAGCGTCAAGTCATAGAAACTCGATAGACACTCGCGGACGATGCGAATTCGCGAATTTGCAATACCTTTGACAAAACCTCGTGCCGTCGTTTTACGATCAACGGCCACGGGCGATACCGGGGATGACCGTGAAGTGCCGGGCTCCGTTGCACGAAAGAACGTGTTACACAAGAAGAAATGTCGAAGTTTCTATGGCGGCTTGTGGCGTTTGCGTGTGATCCCAGGTCACCGAAATTCATGCAGTCACCGCCGATTGAATCCTACAGGGGTTGGTGGACCATCCCGTACTTCTCCTGCAAAACTCGCCGTTGGCTCATCTCGTACAGCGTGAACGTGAAGCCGCCGGATGTCCGACCCGGGTTGGTATACAGCTCTCGCTTCCCTGCCGGGAGTAATTCTACAAAATTATACAAAACTATAAAATATAACTGCCAGAATTTAAGAAATTCTACGTATAAATTTAAAAAGTCAGAAAAGTCAACACGAAGATGCATAGAATTGGAGCACTTTTGTTAATTTTTTAAATATTCTACGAGTAAGCAGACGTTTTAATTCTTTAAGATTTTGTTGCTTCTCAAATTTTTTTAACTAGTAAAGTTTCGTACTAATTTTTACAAAAGTGTACACTTTCGTGAAATACCACTTGCAATCATTTCTTCATTTGAGAACATTGTAAGTTGCGGTACTCTTTCGTAGATACTTTTACAAAAACACAAATGTTTCAACGAAGATATAAAAATTTCTATAAATTTCTATTTCAAGTCAATTTTTGTAGTTATTTATAGAAATTCTTTCCGCTAGGGCTGCGCAGATACTTAAACTTACTGCTTTACAGTAAACTACGTGCTCGATTGTATTTCTGCTTTGTCTTTCTTCGGCAAAGGGTGCGGGAATTCATCAGTATGGACATCGACATAAGCGGGTTGGAGGTGAACCAGTGCGACGCCCCGGCGCAACAAAACCGTAACGACGGGCTCGAGGCCGCCTCGGGCAATCAGATAGCTTTCTTTAAGGGCACCCACAAGTGTCACGCCGATACCACGCAGGTAGGTACATGTCGCAAATGTGCTCCATCTATTATCCCTTAGGACCTGAGCGGAGTGGCTGTCTTATACTCTTAAGACTCAAGACAGTTGTTGTGCGTTACCTCAAGACAAAGGCTTAAAACATAAAACATTGTCTTAAGGCTGTCTTAAGAGTATAAGCCAGCCGTTCTGTTCAGGCCCTTACAAATAGGAGATGCGTATACAAAGCGAGAACTCTCGTTTTTCGGTTCAGTGCGTGTATCAGGGACCCGGCAGCCGAGTGAACGAAAACGGGGTGGGCGCTGGTTGGGCGAAAGGCGCGTACGTGTGCAAGTGTCGGCAGGGCTTTTACAGCGTCAGCCATCATCGATCGGGCTTCGACGGGATTCTCGTGGAAGGTCAGACTCATTGTCGGACTTGTTGTTTGTTTGCCGCTCGATTCTCGCGCTAATCTAATTCTCCGCTCATATTTATTGCAGCCGCGTGGAAGGAAATGCGGGAGAACAAGAGCGACTCCTACGAGCAGGTGTTTCAGTGTCTGCGCTGCGCCCCGGGATGCGCCAGGTGCAAAGGCCCCGAGCCTTGCCTGGCGACGTACAATTGGCCCTTCAGGTACTCTCAAGCCGCCCGTACTTTTCTAATCCCTCGCCGCTCGGCGCCGTCATCTCAATTTAATGTGTTACCTTTGAAGAATCTCGCTGCTAGCCGTTTCAATCTTCTGCGTGTTCGGCACCATCGTCCTGGTGGCGTACATGTATCAGCATCGCAAGCTAAAGGTATTCAAGGTCGCGTCCCCGATATTCCTGTCTATCACGCTTCTGGGCTGCGCCTTGATGTACCTCGAGGTGGGTGGAGAGACGTCCCTTTCTCTTTCCTCTCCAAAGGCCCGTTTATGCCAGTTTTGTACTAATCAGGAACTCTCGCCCCCGCTGTAGATGGCCGCTATATTCCCGGTCCTCGACATGTATTCGTGCATTGCCACAAAGTGGACGAGGCACATGGGATTCTGCGTCTCGTATACGGCGTTGCTGATGAAGACCTGGCGGTAAGCAGCTACGATAAACGCTATCGCGTCGTTGGGAGTACGCGCGGTCGAGTTGCAGGGAAGGAAAAGTAAAGAAAAGTTTTCTTTTCGCGATCACTGATTTGTTTTAAAGAGAAATCAATAGTAAGGTACCCGCGCCTCGGTAAATTTGTCGCTTGGCCGCGGCGGAGAAATTGGGTGGCGGAGAACTCGAATAAAGTGTGTTCGTCCGCAGGGTCTCGCTTACGTACCGGGTGAAGAGCGCCCATAAGGTTAAGCTGACGGACAAGCAGTTGCTGCAATGGATGGTGCCCATCCTGCTGGTGATGCTGATCTATCTCGGGACGTGGACCGTCAGCGCGCCGCCTTACGCCGAGGTAATCGCGGATAATCACGACTTGAAGTTCTACCAGTGCTCTTACAACTGGTGGGATCACAGCCTGGCTATCGGTAAATATACACAGAAACGATCCTTCGCGGATCGCTAGAGGCTGTTCTCCTTTTAGGAGACACAAATCGACACAAGTTAACGCACCCGAGCACGCCCAGCGGGAAATGACTCGTCAATCGATGTCGAAACGGTCGTTTCGACGAGACATTTCTCACTGGCCGGCATCGCTACTGTGAAAAATGGCAGAGATTCAAAGAACAAGATTTTAAGAAACGGTCCTGTCGAATAGAAGATTATATCGAAATACTCGGAGCGGGGATGCGTTCCTCGAAAGCACACTCCGACCCGCCTCCCGAGCGGGGTCGAGAAGTGTCGATTGAGTTCGAATAAAATTCTAAATGGAAAGCGACATGTGTCGATTTGGGTAAATAATGTCGACCGCCTTCTCTAAAAGGAAAGCAGCCGGAGTAACTCGAGTGGGTAATCGACAAACGATTCTGCTTTAAGGTGAAATTCTCTTTCTCGCCTGGGGCATAAAGGTATGTTACAACGTGCGAAACGCGGAGAGTCTGTTTAACGAGGCCCGTCTGATAAGTTACGCCATTTACAACATAGCCGCGGTGAATATAACCATGATAGCCATTCAGTACGTAGTCAACGCAATATATCATCGCATACAAAACGTGTCGCGCGACAGTGCACTATACATCATTGAATAACGTTGTCCGCAGTCTCTTCATATTTCCCCGTGCCGGGCCGGATATCAAATACCTGTTGGGCTTCCTGCGGACTCAGCTTTCTACGTCCGTTACGGTCTTCCTCGTATTCGGCCCTAAAGTAAGGCGATTGCAACGAACGGACCTTCTCAACGTGGACACTGAAAAGACCAGACTTTGGAAACGATCCAGCGCGGAAAGCACCTCGCTCGGATCGGTCTTTTCAATATCCATCGCTCTTATTCCCTCTATCCTCTCCGCGATTGGTACAGCTGGTGATTAATTGATTTACTTTCAATCGACGTGCGCAGGTAATCAGAGTATTGCGAGGCCAGGGGGATCAGTGGGACAGTCGAGCGAGGGCGCGCGGCGTCACCGCGAGCTTCTCCTTCAACGGAATTGGTTTGGTGCCGGAGGAGACGACGGACCTGTACCAGGAAAACGAAGAGCTCAAGGTACGCCCGCGTTCTCTCCCCCCCCCCCTCGCGCGTCTCCGCGCGGCGGTTCGAAAATTTCACCCTTCTTTTCGTTACCGTTTCCTGAAATTGCATCAGGAGGAGATCCAGAAGTTGGCCGCGCGAATCGAGTTCATGAAGATAGTGCACATGGAGATGCACAACCGACACATCAAGCCGAAGATGGGCGGTTACTTCAGCACGCACGGTCATGGTCACGGGCACCCATCCGCCGGCCAGAGCCCCATCGCCAAGAGCTCGACCGCCAGCTTTATCCTCAAAGTATGTACCTAAATCATTTTATTCCCCGCGCCGTTCGATCGATTCCCAGGACACGCGGAATTTCCGGGACCCGCTGGCGCGAGCGGGATAAATTACCGTCGTCCTTTCTGAGAAATTGGATTTTACCGTTCATTAATTTACTCGTGTCGCGCGTGCATTTGAAATTGCCGGGATAAATCTCGGTGTTGTCTCTACGGGAGGAGTCGTGAGTGGAAATTATCCGGCGAAAGTTCTTGTTCCTCTCTGCACCCCGTCCCGCCTCGTCGAAACTTTCAGGCGCGCGTTATATCGCTGAACATTTCTTAAAACCACCCGCGCGGTTCTTACGTTTCCCCGTGCGCTAATCTTTTTCGCCATCTTTTCTTTTCTCTTTAAATTGTAATCCTTCTCTCTTCCCTTCTGTTAATTTGCCAGCTTTCTCACATGTGCTTGAACTGTAATACTTATACGTCTCGCGTCGCTCAGCTCAGTTTTTTTTCTGCCGAGACTCACATCAACAGTCTCGCTGGCGTCCCACCATTTGCGTGTACAGCATTGCGTAGCTTATTGCTTTTCGACATTCTTGTCCTACTTTTATTCCGCCTCTGCACCTATGTATATTATGCACAGCGATAAACTTATTATTGTTATATAAACGCGGAAGACCGGGAAATGGGACCGCGGAGTTGACGCGAAAGCCCGCGTTAGTCCGTATTCGCGCGAGTCCGCCGAGGGAGCGTCTTGGGAAATAAATTGGAGTAATTTATTGAGCAGACGGCCGTGGAGCGAGGTGCAACGGCAGCCGCGGCCGCGGCAGTCGAGGACTCGACCTTTCCGTCCGGAAGTCTGCACAGAGCGCGCAGGTCGGAGATGCTGAGGGAGAGGAAGGCGGAGCGGGAGAGGGAGCGCGAGAAGGAGCGGAGCAAGGACAAGGAGCAGAAGGAGAAGCCGCGCTCGAGCGGCGAGAAGGTTTGACTAGTGGTCAATAGCGAGGAGGTAAAGAACCTACGCTCTTAGGACCAGCTTCACAAACGTCGGTTAGCTGCTAACCGAAGGTTCATTGATTCTCTGTCTCTTCTTAAATAATAAGACGGGAAAGGATGGGGGAGTCGACTGAACTCTGGTTAACACACTGAGGGACCCATTTTGTTTGAATGAAACAAATTTCAGTAGACTCAACTGAATTTCTTGTTTGGATATGAGCAAACAAATCTTTCAGTTGATACAATTGGAAAATCTGGTTGTATCACACACTAATTTGGCTGAGTGAACACGCGCAGAATCCTTTTATAATATTCAACTAAACGATTTAGTTGACGCAACAAACACAATTATTTAGGACGTGATGGACAAATTTGTTATCTCAACCATAAAATTTTGTTCAAATAAACAACTCATGGAAACAAAGTATTTAGTTGTAACATTTAACTTCTTTTCAGCAACATATCTTTCGTTTTATACAACCAAATTACATGTTCAGTCAACATAATGATTCAATCAAGTTATTTCGTTTCATTCAACAAAATGGGTCTCTCAGTGCACCCAGTCATAAATTACTCGTCGATCGACGTCGAAACGATGTCGAATCGACGTCAGTATGGCGGTTTCGATGTCGACGCGACATCGTTTCGACGTCGATCGACGAGTTATTTCTGGCTTAATTGTTAATCGACGTTTGTGAAACTGGCCCTTGATCGGCCTGAATCTCTCTCCCTCGTGCTCGGTGACGATCTTCTTCTCGCCGGCAGGTATGGTTGTGACGAAGACAGTGGCTCGACGAAATCAGGAAGACGCGTAGGAGCCGAAGAAATAGAAGGAAGAAGAAACTGGAGATATTCAGGTTGTATCCTTTAAAGGACAGGAGACTGCCCGTATTCGTATGAAAACGCCGTATAATCAAACTCATCGCGATCACTGTCTTCGCGCCGTTGTGATAGCGATGTATCTTCGTGATTAATTACTAGGTGTACGGATATATCTCTGGAAATCAAAATCTCTGATGAACCCGCGGGAGGCGACGGCGACGGCCGAGTATTTCGTGTCTCCGTTTATTTTTGTAACAGCGGCTGTCGAGAGTGAAAGGGAGCGCACAATTCTATTATAAATCGATATCTTATTTCTTCAGAATGCGTAGAAGCGCTCGAATGACGCGCCGTTGGCGCGACGGCAGGCTGTACAGGAAATTGTATTTAAAGAAACCAGGGATGCTTCGTCGAGGGATCGCGAACGGGACGATCGGGACGAAACCGCGATACTAAAGCTGTCACAAATGCACAAAGGACGCGCGGGCGAGCCGTTACCGTCGTCTTCAGCGGACGCGTTTCGCTTACCGCGAGCATACGATGTAGAGCCGTAAGAAACGCGCGTGACTCTGCGAGTTATGTCCCCCGGTCAAAATCGTTTTGCGCGCGCACTTTTGCCGAGCGGCGCCGCGGCCCACAGGCATTCGATATTTAAGGACAGCGAAGGGCGCGAAGATGCCTTTCTTAAGTGTTACATAAGTCGTCGTATTCCCGGATTTTAAATGGCACCGTTTCCGGCGGCTTTATCACGCCGGGGTGACACGTCGTTGTCTTCATCGACCGATATTTAAATACACAATTTGAATGTGAATGTTAATTTAAGCGAGTAAATATAATATACGAGTGCAACAGGCGCGTAATTTCCCGTACTTGAACGCTCGACAAGTTTAACTCGATAAGTATGTCACCGAACGCGAATGGAGAATCGTTTCCGCTTGCACGTTTAAGTTCACGACTTCATTTGCGAATCGTATATTCGAGGGGGGAGACGCGCGAGCTCTCCCCCGCGCTCTTATTACCTAACCATTTGTGTAACGCCTTATCCGATTTACATTGCATTCTGCTCGTTTCCGAACGAGAGTCACGTTTCAAGTTGCAAACAGCCAAGCGATAACTGTTCAGCGTAACAGATTGTATAAATGTTACATGTGACAATAAAGTTACACAACGGGCTGTAAAAAAAAAAGAAGAATAAGAAGAGACGCGAGCTTTGCTGGTGATCGTGGATTCACGTTTGGGGAAAAATGAAGTACGAAAAAAGGCTGAAGAGAGAGTCTAGAGACATAAAATCGTGCGATAAAGCGATTAACAGTTGATGAAATCTTTGCCTTGTTAGTTTACACTTTTTTAAGGGTGCTTACGTTGTCGCGATAGAACGCCGTTATCGTAGATCGCGTACAGTCGTGCGTTGACAACGACCGACGGAGTTATTGCTGTTCGTGTCTAAGATATTTATCGTAACGTAATAATTGTTGAATAATGAGGAGGGAAGAAACGGCGGAGAAACGGGGCGATAGATACATATATGTGTGTGTGCGCGTTGCGAGTACAACGTAGATACCAATACCCTAACAGCAATATCATTCGAGAGACGCGGGGCGAATAGTCTCTTAAAATTTTCCCTGAAAATCGTGGGACAACGTGACATTTTGAACAACTTCGCGAGAGCTTTCTGAAATTTTACCGTACATTCTACACAGTTGGAAAATTTGTTTTCCTGTTAAAGAAATGCCGGTTAAAACTTTTGCGTAAATGTTTCACACACTTGTGTGTTAATTTAACATATTGCTCTTGTGTTAATTGACCTCAAATGTAAAATTATTATGTAAAATTAACTGAAAAGACATGTTAAAACAACACAATGTGTACTTATTTTTAATCTGACACATGTTCGATATTATTGGTAACAAAATTTATCTGTTATAATTTACAGAATAAAACATTGATTTCATTCTATATAACATAAGTGAGAGTGATTTCGAACCGTTATTTGATTTATTGCCTCTGTAAAATGTAAAAAATACATTTTTTAAATTCATTTTGTCATTAAAAATATAGTAATTTTACACAAAATTTATTTCAAATTATTTTGTGTTAAAATATTAACGAAGTATTAGTGCGATCATTTAACATATCCATATTATGTTAACACAAAAATTTGTGTGGACCGTTTGGGACATGTGATATCTGTTAAATTTAACACAAATTTTTCAACTGCGTACTAATAAAATTATGTATGCCAAGTGTATGTACAATTACTAGTGAACTGTATGGTAAAATGTCGAAAAGCTCTCGTAAACTTCTTCGAAATGCCGCATTGTCCCACGCGATTTTCAGGATAAATTTTAAGCTTTAAAATTCGTGTACCTTTGTAGAATGTACCAAGGATGCCCTAACACGTTGTACATCCGTATGATGTCTCGTACCTTACGATATCCCCCGAAATATTGTCAGAAATCTACACGTGCTGTTAGGGTAATGCTCGACGATGAAAGTCTGTCGAACGTAGTAGAACCCTGCCGCGGATCGAATTGCTTTTATTTTCTTACGGATATCGCGCGATACGAGCATCCGCTTGAAAGAAAAAAAAAACCAATAGAAATCGGTTGCCCGCTCAAGTTCGTTCCCCCACGCACACGTACATACGCAATCGATGTTTCGATCGGCGACACTTTTCAGACACCGACAAGTCATTCCTATAAAGTACATAACCGGGGCGTTTTTTCCCAGTGTCCACAGACGCTCGCAGTGAACATAATTTTTAATAAGGAAATTTTTCACACTTCTCTCGCGCGCACAAGTTTATCTAGTCTCGCTAGGGAGCGTAAGGAGGTGTCGATTCCGCCGAGGGGAGAATTGTCAATTGGTGGAGAGATGGGAGACAATTTTTCGCGGGGGTCGCCACGAATCGAATCTGTCGCGCGGAAGCCCGGCTTTTTACAGCCATTCTGCAACGAGTCGTTGGTCGGAAGGCGGGACTGTATGTTGGGCCGTTCTTCCTTTGGATGAGAGCTGTGCGGCCCCGGGCTTTTGATCAACGACCAACTACTCACTGTAGAACGGCTCTAAGACTCGCGCCGTAAATCGGCGTACTTCGTCGAGGTCGAATATTCGCGATGGCATTGTATATCCGTTTACACGTTTAGGAGGGACGACACAAGATTCCCATTCTCGTTTCCGATTAAGTACAAATCACGACGCGACAAGGCCCTCGTTGCGCTAGAGCTATTCTGCGCTCGATGTAAATCATAAGATGCGCTAAGAGCTTGCACGCGATAGCTCGCGGCAAATAGTATCGTAAGAGACGAACGCTTTCGGTGTTGCGTGTTATACGTGTGAAAAAAAATAATTCGCGGGTACAATACGCGGAGTCGGCGAAGCGTTACGAGTTCGATCCATGTAGATCCTGTCCTAGTTATATAAATTCCGGCGTTATTTTTTCGATACGAAGGAGAAGAGGCGAGATCACACGCCGACCGAGCACGTGGGAGAAAGAACGAGGCAGAAGTGAGAGAAAGAGGAAGATCTAACGTGCGGATTCATCTCATCCCTTTCCCGCCGAACAGATCAAACAGTTATATATATGTAGAACCGGACACATATTTGTAAAGGTATACTGTATGTCTCTCAATGAATACAATAATCTTGAGGACTAACGAGGTGCCTTCCTTCCTCTTCTGCTTTCCACAGCAAATCGGCTGCGACAGGACATTACAGCGCGCGGACGAGAGGGGACAAGAAGCGGGCGGGGGTTTTTCTCGTCTTCACTTGAAAATTTATTTACACGCGCTACACACTATATAGAATGCAAGATATGAACCTTTCGCATACCTCGCTCGGCAGCGACCAGGGTGTCTATATCGCCGAAAATAATTGCACGTTACCACGGGAAGGGACACGGTCACCGATAGGTGAACGGCGTCCGTGAGATCGAGCAACAGCCCACAATCAACAAAACAGAATGCAGTTCTTACAATAACAATCAATTTGTATATACAACAATAATAACCAATTATAATGACATTGACACCACATGATATTCCGACGTGTACCGGGCGGACGTTCGCGAATGTTACGAGTTAGGGCCGATTCGGCGAACGTTCGCGGTAGGACGAGTACGGGCCTCGTCGATATTGTCGGTACAATGTTGCACAAATCGTAAACTCTACAAAAGAAACACGCTACACCAGTCGCGAATCTAAATAAATCGAGAGGAACCCTAGGCCCATTTATTCACGCTGAGGTTGTGCGAGTACTCGCGCGACTCCTAATCTGATTATTTAAAAGCCTTTAGTTCCGATTAGATTCTCTCCTCACTTTTATTACTCATCATTGTAGAGAAAATTCGATAAAATTGCGCGCTCTGGTAAGATTCGAGTAAGATTGAATTATTTAGAATGCCTCTTCGATTTTGGATTCGCGTCATTATTACTAACGTCCATTTCTAATACCAATGTAGATTTAATCTCGGTTTAACTTGCTTTTTATATTTTTCTAATTTTTGGAACCAGAAAAGGATAACAAATAATTAAACCGAGATTAAAATTTGAATTGGTAAAAATGGACACAAGTGAGCTACAGTTGGAGTCAAATCCTGGAGAACAGCTGTCCTGCGTTGATTTTGACTTCTTTCCGATCTCGTTATAGTTTGCCTAATTTTTATGCTAATTGTAAGAGGTTCTAGCCTCTTACTTGTTTTTTGAAATTTACTGTCGTCATTGTTTGGAGGTCTTCTGCCCTCCGAGCGACGACAGTGTCTGAGACGTACTCAAGTACTCGCACACCTCTGGTTTACGCTGTCGCGTGGCAGAGTGTTGTACGCGTAGTCTAACATCTGGACATTTGTACTTGACGTATTATAGTCGCGCGTATGACAAAATATTACCACGTAGGCATGACTCACACTGTATCGGACACTATTATGCATTACATTATTACAAACTAGTACGTATGATACTATAATGTATATAAGTATATACGTCACGCGCCTCTCGTTAAAGGTTTCTCGTTAAAATAACATCATCCACATGCGTCATTTCGTACAGTGGCCTGAACGAATGTTTGTATTCACGGGGTTAAACATTTTCGAATCTAAAACCCAGGATGTATCGCATTGTAAAACGTCGATGCGTCGGGAGATGAAAATTTTTTACAGTGAAAGTCAAGCCGTAATCTTCACGCGTATATTATTTGGTCGGGTTTATATATATACATATATATATGTATATATGTATGTATGTTGTATGTTTGTGTGTTGCGCGCTCACGCGCATGCATGTGTGCGTGCGTGTGTGCGTGTGTATACAGAGCGCAGGTATCTCTTTATATTAATCTTACTGCTCGATACTAATGATACTGATCGAAGACGATGCACATAATCGACTCTCTCGACTCTCGTTCATGCTGTTAGATTCTTTGGAGGCTCGTGCGCTTTGGTAGTAACGTTAGTAGTCGATATCTCAGGTACTTACGTTAAACAGTTCGCAGTAACAGCGACGCGAGTGCTCGTTTGCATATACGTATATATCGAATCTCGGGACGAGAAAACATTATAAGCCCTATTGAACTTGAAATAGATTCGGGGAAAAAGATACCACGACCTTTCGCAGAAGCTCGTTAGATTTCTTCCTTCTTTTACGTTACGTTGATCATCGCGTTTCGCGCTTGTGCATAGAAAAATATGGTTTATGCCGATATTTAAATCCAGATTCCAAATTTCATTAAACGATGTCCTGGCCATTTTCGACCTGGCAGCCGCGGTTGTCTTTTTCCCTGTGGGACGAGTCGTCCTCGTCTGGATGCGCTTCTTTCCTCTTGCCATCGTCTCCAGTATTCCCGGAATTTTCACTCTTACTCGTCGAGTTCGCCGAATGCGACTTGTTTAATAGAGAGCTAAACTCGCCAAACTTTAAAATTTCTTCCATCGCCGATTGCTCCAAATTAACCTGAAACGTTTACAGATAGCTGGTATCCGACTAGGCCATCAGAAAGAAGCTCAGTTGCAAACAGTTCGTCATGAAAGAGCGTTGTCTCAAGGAAAAATTATTATTTTCAAGAAATGTGACAAGCGAACGCACAAATTGCAATGCAGGACGCAATGCGGACAGACATTCTTATGTGACGGACTGCAATTAGAAATTCTCCGATCTCTCTTGCGCTACCTTACGTGGTCTGCCGCGTTTGCCCTTCGTCGGCAACGAGGAGATTGTTTGGCCGCCCTTTCTCTTCGGCCATTGCAAGTGCGAATCAAGATGTTGCTTCAGCTTGTCCTGCCTAGCGAACATTCGTGGGCAGATATTGCAAGCGAAGGGTCTTTCGCCCGTATGCACTCTTCTGTGCCTCGCTAAGTGCGACGCTCTTGTGAAAGCCAAAGTACAAAGGTCGCAGGAGAAGGGCTTATGCTGCGTCCTATCGGATTTCATCAGCATCCTTGTCTCTCTTCCCTCGTTTCCTCCTACTCTCTTCACGACCTCGAACTTCCTCTTCACTCCTACCTTCGACGGCTCGTCCGAGCTTTTCGCAGTTTCCTATAAATTGATAAGCAGATTTTTAAAGCTTTGCAACAACGATTATGAATCGAAATGGAAAAGCATTATGTTATACTAATAAAAATTATCACAAAAGGAACATTCCGGTTCAATATATTATTATATATTTATATATGCATATATAGACACGTATAGAGAGAAAGAGAATTTCGCTGTGGTGACGAAACGGTTGCTGCGATTGCATATTCCACGAGAATAAGCTACTATAATTACACCGTAATCTGTTATGTTATTACACCACCGTCTGTTTTGTTGATAAAATAAAAATAGCTTGCTGGATATATTTCTTTATATTTTGCAACACAGTAATCTATTTCGTAATCAGTTTGCTGTTACAGCAAAGCCGGTAATGCTTTGGTAATGGAAATTTATTGCATCATCGCATAAAATGCGTTGGCAAACATTCTCCCTGCCGGCAGATAGGCTCGCTTACCTGTACGCCCGATACCGCGACATCCGCGGGTTCGTCATTGAGAGTCGGCTCGCATTTGACGATCCTCGAGGAATCCTCGCAGCTCGATTCTCGCGACGAGTCTTTCGATTCCGGCGGGTCGTTGTTCCTTGTCATGCGGCCCACGGACACTCTCTTCTGCCCTTTGAATCTGGTCTCCCGCTTGTACATCGGAGGTGGTATACGCCTCTGAAAATTACAGCGATAAGTATTCGGAAGACCGATCGGTCCACAGATAACATCACGCAAGAGAAGTTATAAAGCGCATATCCCCCGAGCTTACGATTTGCGTTTCCACGGATCGCGGAAGCTCGTCGAAGCTGTCCTCGTGCCCGTCCATCACCATCGGGTCGTCCTCCACCTCGATGTCCTCCACTTTAATATGGTCCTCCATCGAATCGACGGTCGAGTGCTTGGGCAGGAAAGGGATCACCGACGGCTCCTTGATGTACTCGGTAGTGTGCACTCTGGTCTCGATGTGGCATCGCTGCATCCGCGTCTCGACCCTGGTATAGAGGTTGCGGTTGCTCTCCTGGTTCTTTTGATCCCCGGAGAGACCGCGTATCTCCAAGTCGGTGGCAGTTTTTATCAGCGAGGGAAGGTGCTCCTCCGTCACGTCGATGGATCCTCTGTACATGAAGTCCAGGAGGCATTCCATTTCTTCGACAGCGACACCTGAGCGATACAAATGTACGTGTCAGATTGGGTGCATTTCAATACCTTCGCGCGAAAGTGTTACACGTTTTCTCCGAAATAGAGATGGGGGCCAAATTTGTTCTCCCGGTTTCTATATTTTCGCGTGATGCTACCGTGTCTCTTCGAAACAGTAGGCAGCCCACAAAAGAGGCCACATGGCTTTTTTTCAAGTCTTGTTTCTTTACGCTTCGCTGGAGTGAAGCTCTTATAAAAGTCAGAACAAAGATTTCCTCTCGCTATGTTGAACAATTATGTAAAGAAAATCCGCTTGCACTGCACTTCTTCCTCTATCTCTTTCAGGCAAAATATCTTGCGTAAGAAATTAAAAAGAAGCCCCCGTCTCTTTAGACGTTCATTTAAAACGTCATGAATGTTTCGCCGGAGCTTGCCGACGTGTACCTTTTAAAATGAGAATGGGTTGCTCTCCGTAATGTTCCTTAAAAACCCTTTCGAAGTAAGGGCTACAGGCGGCCAGCACCAATCTGTGGGCCCTCAACATGCCACCCTGGCAAGCCAAAGTCGCGTCCGTCAAGGAGCCGCTCTTGTAAAGAGCCTCGAACAAACCCGACAGATTCGCCAGGTGATTGTTCCACGTAAGGTTGAACGTCTTCTCGCCCATACTTTTATCGAGTGTTACCGACCTGAAATACAAAGACTCTGTATTTCCGCAATGTCGCGGTAGGTCGACTCTTAAACGGAAAAGGCATGCGTCTCGCGCGTATGCAAATGTGCCTTTGTTTCTCCGCTAATCGGACACGTTGAAAAGGTAATTACATTAGCAATCAGGCGCACGCGTACGCGTTGCGTGCACCGAGAAGTATATTCTGAAAAACGTTGCACGAACCGCGTGTTCTCAAACGACCTACGAACTTTCGACATTATGAGATAGCAGGTTTTCAACGTACAAATTCAATCGCAAGTCTTTTCTCGCAACGATTACGCGATCTAACAATCAATTTTCCACTAAACAGAGATTTCACTCCAAGAGCAATAAATTCATGGTATAACTTAGAAATCTCTTTAATTTGCCAGTAATAGATAACAATAATCAAGCTCTTCAGTCGACATTAACCAGCCAGTGTTTCAACACAGAAAATTTATAGTGTAACTTGTTGGTCCGCTCTGTCATTTGCTTCGTTTTGCGTCGATCCCTTCTGCGCACTCGACATTGTTCTGGGCGGGCCAATTAAAGAGAGAAAAGTTGTATACGTGGTAGTGTGGCTTTGACGAGTACGTATACACACGCCCCTAGTAGCACAGTGCATTGACGAAACATCGGTTAAACATTGGTCCAATATCTGGGTTGTATTGGGCCAATGTTTAGCCAATGCACTGTGCTATTAGGGGCGCGTCGCTGGATCCTGCCCGGGTGTATGGCGTAACACCACGTGATCGGGACCGACAGAGAGTGGACCCACTTATACTACGATGGAACCAACAGATGTTGCCTATTAATTTAGCAGAACCCTCCGATGTCTCGTGTTAGCAGCCCGTCTCATAATAGGGGACTCTTCTCTGTAAGAATACATTCTTTATACAAGAGACTTTCGCGTCGCACTTTACAGGAACATCGGTTGTCTCGTCCGCGAAAAGAATCCACGGTCGACGCGCGAGACGCAGAGGATCCGCGCAAGGGGGATGCGCGAAAGCGAGCAATTCGGAGAACGCGTCGACCCAGTGACAACACCAACGTCGAGTCCACGTCGATGGAGTCGAAGTCGCGTCGCAGCTGTCAGTTTTTTGAGAACAATTAAGTTTCGGAACTTAATATTTCACATTAAATTTGGCAGAGGAGAGTTCCCTATTACGAGACAGGCTCCTAATATGAGACAATGGGGTTTCCGCTCGATTAACGGGCATCGCCCAGCAAACGCGGAACGTTGCCGCAACGTTGTTTGCTGGTCCCGCCATGGATTTATCACCCTTGGAGCGAAATCTGTTTGCCCAGTGAGAAATTATTCGTCGATCGACGTCGAAATGATGTCGAAACGGTGTCGATGTCATTTCGACGTCGAACGACGAATCATTTCTCACTGGGTGATAGAAAATTCATTGTTAGATCGCGCGTGCGATTGTTGCAAAGGGGACACGTGAAATTGGACGTTGGAGCCCCGCTGTCTTTTATCAGGCTGCCTCATACCAGAGGACCTTCCTCTCTGTTAAATAAGTTGGCAGTCCTCGTTTGTAAAATGTCAAGAGTATTCAGAGCGTAGGAGCTCCCAATACAAAGCTCCCGAACTCGCTTTCTGAAACCGACGGTTCCCTAAAACGGACGTCGAATCGACGTCAACACCGTGAAGTCGATCGGCGAATAATTTCTCACCGGGTCGGGACGCGGCTTCGACCCCCCCACTGACGTCGATTCGACCTTCGTGTTCTCGCTGGGGAGCTGCTCCCCGGCGCGTGCACGTAGCCCCGCGCGATCGACGCGGTTCCCGATCGAGCGGGGGACTCGCAGAAAATTTTCCGGACCGCGTCGCAGGCGGTTGATTAGCCGCGCGCACACATGCGCGCCACGCACGCGGAATGCCAATGTCGCTCTCGGCGACGCATCCGCGCGCTCGTTGCATCACGAGTGAAATAATGCCGTCGCGGCGGGGCGAGGCGACGGCGCGGCGCGCTTTTAATCGCCACGTTCCGCGCAATTATTCCACGCCCGGTTTGTGCGACACGCTCGCCAATGTGTCATCGCCGCCGACGTGTCGGCCGCGTTTTCGCGCGCGCTCGCGCTTACCTCGAGGTGTCCTCCTTCTCCCCTCGCGCTATCGCTCCCGTCCGAACTGAAATCGATTCGAGCTCGTTTCTGAATCTTTCATTCGCGAACGCGCGCCTTCTCCGCGGGCCGCCCGCGACCACTCGTCAGCGTGAATTTACGGAATTCGCGCGGCCTCGGGGACGTTGTTGGTAAACTCGCGCGAGGACGGGAGGAGGTATGTCGCGCGCGCGGAGAGGAGGAGTCGGTCTCGAAGGAGAGCTTCTCCAGGAGAGCTTTTCCGCGCCCGGCGTGTGCGTGCCGCGTGCGTGTACGTGTGTGCACGACCAACAACGGCGGGCGAGTTAGTCATGCGCAGACGTGAACCCTCGCGTTGCCTCGATCCATAATTTTGTTGGTGGACCCCCCCACGCATTTCCAAGGGACTCCCGTTCCCCGTTGGCCAGGAACGGGCCGAACGCGCCCTTTCTTTCCCCTCGTTTTTTTTTCCCTCCCCCGTCCGCTGTCTGGGAGGCGACGCGGAATGCGCGCGGACGCGTTCGAGCCCTCCGCTGCCGGGGCTCCGAGAGGTTCCCGGGGCCACGGAAGGACGCTCCGATCGAGCGTCGGGAATCGGGGACGAAACCCGCGGCCCCGGTCGTCGAGATAAGATACGCGCGTATTACGCGCCAGCGGGAGAGCGCGCTCCGTGTGACGAGATCACGTGCGGACGCGCGCACACGTCGCTCGCGGCGCGGCGGATATTCGCCGCGGCCTTGAACGCCGCGCGGCGGGAGAGCGATCGGCCGATTGATCGGGAGGAAAAACGCGGACGGCGAGGTGCGCGACGGGCCGCGCGAGAGCAACGGGAGAGACCCGCGTCACTCACGTGCGACTTACGTATACGCGCGCCGAGGTGGGCGAGGGGGGGCGAGGGGGAGGGACGACGGCGAAAAAACGCGGCGACGAGGCTCCGCACGTGATCGCCGCGTCCCAGGAATGCGCGAGTCCGAACGACGCTCGCCGTCGCGCCGCGTCGCGCCGCGCGCCGGTGCCCCGGTGCCTCCTCTCGCCGAGCTCTATTAATATCCGCGCCTCGACGTCGACGTCGCGCCTCTCCGGAACGCGCTCCGCCGGCGGAGGGACACGCGACTAGGGGGAGAGAAAGAGAGAGAGAGGAGAGATCGCGCGGTTCCTCTCCTCGCCTCTCCCGCCGCGCCGCGCGTCCCCGCTCGATTCGCGATTTCCTCTCGATCGCGAGGAGGAACGGCTGTCGTACGACGGCCACCCCGCGGCTACCTGGCGACCTCCGGCGTGAAACTCTCCGGTTTCGACTCGGGCCGGGCGGATGGGACGTCTCCCCCTTTCCCCGGGTATGCGCAGGGAAAAGGTCGTATCGGAGCCGCTGGTCACGGTGGCCTGGGTGGTCTGCGAGTCTTCGGGTGGCGACGGCGACGGGCGCGATATTTGCGTGTCCACTCGCTGGAGGGGCGCTATTCGGTGTATCGCGGGAGAGCGAGAGAGAGAGGGAGACTGTTACTCCGCGAGGGGCACGGCGCGACCGACGGCGTAACGCGACGCGTGCTGGGGCTCCCTCGACCGAGTCGCGACTGATATCATTTCCAGCGGGGGACTGTAGGGTCGGCGGCCAGAACCCCACCAGGGGGTCTTCGTGCAACCCCCACGCGGCGTCGTAGTAGTAGTCGTGTACGTCGTCGACATTGCCGCCGCCGCCACCGCCGCCGCCACCGCCGCTGCCGCCGTCGTCGCCGTCGCCGTCGCCGTTGTCGTCGTCATCGTCGACGTCGTCGTCGTCGTGGTGTGCCGACGGCCTCTCAAAACCCCCCCGCGCACGCATCTACGCACACGCGCGCGCGTGTAGCGTGCCACAGGGAGCGTCGTATCTCTCTCTCTCTCTTCCTTCACCCTTTCCTCCCTGTCCCTTTCTCTCTCTCTCTCTCTCCCCCTTTTAGCCCCTCGGATTTTCCGTCTTTTTCTCCCTTCCGACCGAGCCCCGATTTTACATCGCTCCCCTCAGTCCCTCCGAATCGGATGGTCTCTCGGGCGGCGCGTCTCGCTCTTCCCCCCTTGTGCGGCCCCCTTCGCTTCGCTACGCGACGCGGGTGCCTTACCAACGCCCGACGCGTCGCGACGCGGCGCGGCGCGGCGTACCCAACGATCTCATCCACCCCGAGTCCTCGCCTCGGCGAGGGGTTGCCTCTCGTCAGGCGAAAACAACGCGCCTTTCCTTTCGGGCTCGACCTCGCGGGCGTCTCGGGAGTCCGCGTCTCCCCATTTTTTTTGTGCCTTCCCCCTTGTCTTACTCCCGCCAGACGCGGCGACAGGCGGCATTCCGTAGATAATTGTAATCCTCGTCCTATCGACGTCTAGTCCTATCTACGCCGGCACCGTTGGGGGTGACGGAAGGACGCGCGTGGCCCCGATAAGCGCGTAAATACCTCCGGCACGCAGGGTGTGTCCCGCGTCACGCGCGCTTCCGCTCGGCTCAATTTTGAGTCGACTTCGTTGAATCGACCTTCATCTCGCCTTACTTTTGTATTCTCGACGTCGCCGTAAACAGACGGGCAGGAATTATACGAGTGCACACATTGTGCAAATGTCCAGGCATTGCCGCCTGTCTGCGCACCTCCGGTGAATTCTGTCGGAATAAAATCTACGAGCAAACTCTTGCCCCAGTAGCACAACATATTGGCGCAATATTGGTCCAATATTGTAAGATGCGTGCCTTTTCTTACTTAGCCAATATGTCTATTTAGCAATATTGGTCTAATATTGCGGCAATGTTAGACCAATGCACTTCCAATATAAATCTAATATTGTATAATTATTATCGTGCGATATTTGCATTTATTTCGTGGCCAATATTGGCTTTACGTTGGACAATATGTCGGCATTTCTAATATAACCAACATTGAACCAATCTTGTCTCCCCCGTAATTTTCACAGAGCTTCTTTCTGTTACGAGTAAGAGAAATACAATGCTTTGTACGGCCGGGCTGGACCTGCGTGCGCAATATTTATGCGTACGCATTTTTTCCAGCTCAGCAAATCACGCCGAGTGATGTCGGCCTGTGGAGACGCTCGGGCCGAGGCCGAAGCATACGTGATTAAATTGCCAATCGATTTAACGATAATTAACGATGCCGAAATGAGCGTCTTTCGGAAAACGAAGGAATTTACTGCGAAAAACATCGTCCCAGCCGGGGCTCGAACCCGGGGGTCAATTCTCGCGCTATAGTGAAAATGCTAAAAGTGAACAGCTTTGTCTCTTTCTAACCGTCCCGTTAGAAGACAAAGTCGTTCACTTTTAGCACTTTCGCTGTATCGTAAGAAGCCCCTGGGGCTCGATCATGAATCTGTGTCTCCAGCGTAAACTCGTAAAAAGTGAAAAATTTAATTAACGAGTTCGATATTTGTTCTCCGGGCCTAATATCCGCAAGAGCCGTGGTGCCTGCGATCTCGGTTCCCGCGGAGGAAAAGTCGAGGCAATCTCGGGAGACGCTCGGACCCCCGTAGGAATCGCCGTGGCGCATTCCATCCGAGCGTAAACACGTTACTTCGGTCTCGCCCGGTTAAAACGGACGGCTCTCCCTCGCAAACGCGAACCTATATCGAGCTCGGGGCCGGGCACAGGCCGCGCGCGTTTAGCACCAGCGCCTTCGAATTACGTTTGTATCGCACGGCACGAGCGATAAGATATCTGCCGCTCGCCAGGAATTCGCTCGCCACGGAGGGGCGGCGGGGGGGAGTAAAATTCGCCCGTGGAAACGTCGCGCGGCTGGAAAACGGCGTCGGCGCGCGCAACGAAAATTCGAGCCGCGGAGACCTCGTTGCAACGCGAAACCGCCTCCGCGCTCGGCGGTGTCGCAATACGACGAGCCCTGACGTAATCCCCCGGCATGGCGCGCGTATTCGCAGCGGCCGTGCCCGCGGGGCGTCGCGTCGACGCGCCACCGACGCGGCCGACGTTCCCTCGGCAATTTTTGTCGGCGCAGCCACGCACGGCGCGTTCGTTAACGCATCGGCTACAATGCGCGGTGTAAGCCTGGAGTAAGGAAATAAATCAATTTCATCTCTTACTCCTTCACTTCAGCTCTTACGCTTGCTCTCGGTGGAGACCCTGTAATCAGAGACTGGCCATAAGAGTTCGTCAAATTCCCGCGAGTGAGAGGGAAACATAGATCGTAGAAGAGTAAGATATAGCCTTTGTTTCTCTCTCTCTCTCTCTCTCACTCGCGGGAATTTGACGAACTCTTATGGCCGGTCTCTGATTACAGGGTCTCTACGATTCTACGATCGTAGAACAGCGAGATGGCCTATGTTTCTCTCTCACTCGCGGGAATTTGACGAACTCCTGCGGCCAGTCTCTGACTACAGGGTATCTAGCTCTCGGTGAATCGGAGCGCCATCGCGGCCAGCGTTACAAAGATTTAAAAAAAATTATGTCTGTATTTTAGCTTCCTTACGCCGAAAGCTAAAAATTACGGTTCTCTCTTACGTCAAGCTTACTCCACGTATTGTAGACGATGCCTAACGATTTACGGCGCGCGTTATCAGTCGTAATTGCGCCGCGCGACTCGGGAGAGAGAAAGAAACGCGTCCCCCCGATGTAATAGACCAATTGATTTTTCGTATTGTGGACACGCATACACACACGCACACACACACACACACACACGGCGTGTAGCACACGTACTCTCTCTTTCTCTCTCTCGCTGACCCAGGCGAGTCCGGCGTGTCCGGCGACTGATTTGGGGGCAGCGGGCGAATATCGATTCGTTATTTTTAGGGGCAATCCGTCCGCTGTGCGGACCCCACCTACGCGTCGTTCCCGGGTTTCTCGAACGGCCCTTTCTTAATCATGGTGTTACCGTCGCGCGCGTGATTCGCGTTTGCGAGAGCTGAAACTTTTAAATTGACGACAACGCGATCGTCCTCGCTGCATCGAAAGCGGCCTGCGAACGCGAGTCGGAATTAGTTCGTCGTGAATCGTAATCTGGCCCTTTCCCGCCTTGTACGCGACACGTGGCGGAAAACGGCATTTAATTTTTACACTAATGCGCCAGCGTTAAACAAAGCGTCCACGTGTCGCGACCCGAAAACGTCAAATATCGATTGTCAGAATTTACAAAGTTATCGTTGGGACGATTGCAATGTTGTAACACGTCGGCTTACGTGAAAACGTCTTTACCTGATATCGATAATGCTCGTTGTCTCGTCGCATACACACGATGTTACGTTATACAATCCCGTAATTTAATTTACAAACACAACACATTAAATTACACATCAATAAAAATATTAATTTTACAATGGCCATTTGCGCGTATAAATTACGTTATATTAAACACTCGTTGTTACAATAAATAAATTACATTTTAGATATGACACTAGAAGGCCTCCCTATACTTTACAACCACAGTGATATTTCGTTACGTGTCGCCAGCGAAGTAACATTGCCCTGACCGCTCGGAATAAGAAAGGTCAGCGGCTTTTCTTCTAAATTAATCCTTACAAAGATCCGTACTTAAATTTGTGCTATATTTATATCTAAATGATATGATCGTAAAAGATCACGACCACGTGTATAGTCCGTTGACGAATTTTAGGCTATCCAAGACTTCTATCCTGACCGGGTCGGGGCTGCAAAAGTGGCTCAATAATTCTTCGTTGAACCCACAATCGCTCAAATTTTCTTGCCCGAAAACGTTAAGCGGCACTTTCGCGGCACTGAGGTTTTCTTCCTCTCTCGTGACAATTGACTGGCCTGGAGTACAAACGTTATTCTCGCTACTTGGTTCGTGAAATCTCGTCGATTAACATGCAAATGCAGTGTATTCGTATGTCCGTACCGTGCCTCGCCGTGGAAAACGAAGTTGTTGAGGCCAATTGCGCGCAGCTCGCCGAAAATTGCTCCAATTGGCTGGACTTCATCAAATGACAGAGAGAAGGCAACACGTGCGGCAAAAGGGGTCCTTTCAATTCGAGGGAATAGAACCTGTCGTTGCTGTCGCGCACTACGCTTTCTCGAACCTTTGTCAGTAAAAAAAAAGTAACAGTTTAAAGCCTACGGCACACGGTACTATTTTTCCTACTGGATTCCTTACGAGAGCCAACCAGGATTCAGCTTTGAGTCACCTGATCGAAAACTCTGCGTCCTGATTGGCTCTCGTAAGCAATCCAGTAGGAAAAATAGTATCGTGTGCCGTTGGCTTTAGTCACCAAAGTTCTACGATAAAAATTAACTGTGAAATCAATTATGCCTCTGATACCTTGAGCGGTTTTAGCGTAGCGCCGTGGAAGGCCGTCGGAGCCAAAAGCGTAGGGGGTACGCCGGCCAGCACGCCGGTCATCGCGATAGCTGATTTGCAATTGATCAGGAAATTGAACAACGCCTGCGTCTCCACACCTCTTACGAACACAAGGGATTGCCTCAAGTTATCTACCTCGCTCTCTTTCTCTAAAGTCATCCTCGCCTGAAAGAAATCGCGACGTCAGAGCAAATTGAGAACGCATAACGTCTCTATGTATACCTGTGAGTGATTGATTTTCTTAATCTCCGAATTTTCTACTCCAAGACTCTCGAGCCACGCGTCCTGGGTTTCGTCGTCATCATCCTCTTCTTCTTCTTTTTTGCCACTGTCACTCTCTTGCTGGCAATCCACGGTATTAGACACGGCATCTGGAGTTTTAGAATCGGTATCTGTTACGTCAGATCGTCTCTTGGAGTCCTTCCTCAAGGGCATAGAGTATTCTATCTCTGAAACGTAATAAAAGAGACACGATCGATATTTTAAATAAAATAAAATTAATACTCTTAAATCTGCTTCTCTTTTTATTTCACAATGTAATTAGATTTCATTAAGATTATTATTTTTTATCACATGGCTATTAATTCATTATTCATGTCAAAAACTTGTAGCTTTACTTTGTGTTGTCATTAAAGACTCATTTTATCGATAAGTAATTAAATAAAATAAGCAGCCCAGCAAACACAAGTGTAAAGTTACACAACACCGACATAACTGCTACGACCTGTGTTTACTGGGGAAAATCTCTACCTTCTTGCCTCAACGACTGGCGAAATCCACGTGTGGTGGGCGTGACAAGAGCATGAATCTCCGACAATCCGCAGATACCAGCGGCACGAAAGAGCACCGTGAATGTGTTCGCGCACACATAAAAATACGGGCATTGCCTTACTCGCAATAAATGAAACAGGGATCTGAAGCTGTCGCACCATTCTCGATACAAAGCATCTTTCATATTCTGATTGTTCACTATCAACGCATTAGTTGCGAGAGACGCACTCACTTTGCCAGCAGAGCGAGGGAACAACTCTAACCATGGTAAAGATGGATGTTGCCAGATCAAGCAACACTGATGAAACCTGAACCGGAAACATTTAACGAGCATTATTACAAGGCTTACAATTGGAGAAACAAATAAGATACGACAGGTAAAGGTGAACGAGACCAACCTTGCGTTTAAACTGGTGTCCAAAGTTGTCTCCTCCTCTCCGATATTTAAACATCTCACGAATCCCGTGGTGCCCGATGCCTCTTCGCTAGTCTTCAACTTGCTGCTCCACGGAAAAGGTTTCGGAGACATAAACCTCATTTTAGTTTTCAATGTCCAGTCTATAGGAATGTGCCTTGCGCCCTTTGGAACGTTTACGTCCGGAGTCTGATTAGTCGATTCTAATTTGGCAAGAACGTTAGCAAAAGTCAGGGAATTATTTAAGGACAGATCTGCCGCTGGCTGCTCCCGCTGGACGTCGAGGTTCAATAGTTCGAACAGCGTGTTGTCGTTGCTGATTTCTAATCCCGACGTCACGTCCTTTTGCTTCTTGTACGTTTCGCTGATCACAAAAGGGTTCTTACGCTTCTGGCAATAAGACATACGCTGCGCATTGTCGCCGGAGTCAAGCGCATCTAGATTCGCCCTTTGTTGGTCGCCGGCGTTAATGGTCGTTTTGTTTATACGCGCTTGGAGCGCCCGTTTCTTCATTTTCATACGATGCAGTTGCATCACTTGATCGGGACGCGTCCACTCCAACGAGCCCGCATTCTCAGGTTCTGCCATTGGCGCGCGTAAAGTTAGATTTGGCATTCTGCTGTAACAAACATTGACGTAATTAGATAAGTAGCAAAATGTGTAAGACAGCCGGAGGAAATTACTATAGATTCTTATTTAGAAGTAACTATGGAATGCTGCAAATATATAACAACAATTTAAATACATGTAATTACGTATAATGTATGTACACTAGGAATCATTGATGCCTTTCCACATGAATTTGTGCACATACCCAGATAGCACCCATAGTTCTATGAATATTCGTAAGTTCAGAACATTCCAATAGAATATTCTATAAATATATATAGATTATTACAATTAAAAATCGTATATTCATAACAAAGAAGAATGTTTTTAGAATATTCGTCGAGAATGTCTTTGAAATATTCGTCCGGAATAATTTTTTAAATATTCACCGAGTTTATGTACCGCACATTGTAATACATTTATCTTATGCAAAAGGCAGTGAAACCTGCGATCGTACCATGTATAACCGACACGCTATATTTGATAGATTATTCTATTCACATTCGAAACAGATTTATGGTAGTGCCAGTCGAATGTTCCACGAACATAAGATAAATATATAAAAATGACCTACGGAATGTTCCAAATATTCTTGAAGAATATTCTTAAAATGTTCACAGGAGTGTCTTGTGCTATCTGGGTATCAACACATTTAGGCCCGGCTTCACCAACGTCGTTTAACTTTGAGCTTAGCTTAATTCGTTCTTCGTCTCTTTCCAACTGTTGCTTTAGGCCCGGTTTCACCAATGTTGTTTAACTTTAAGCCTAGTTTAATTCGTTCTTTGTCTCTTTCCAACTGTTACTTTAGAAAGAGACAAACGTGAATGAAACTAAGATTAAATTTAAGCGACGTTTGGTGAAACCAGGCCTTTTACATTTTGCATATACATACATGAGAAATATACGTGTGTTCTACCTGTGCCTAAATTCATGCGAGAAGGCATCAGCGATTCCTAGTGTACATAATTTTGATAAATTTAATTCTACGCACATAGCGTTTAAATAATTGCAGATTATTATAAATTGTACGTATATAAAACATATGAAAAAAATGTACAAACGCGTAGAATTAAAACTTTTACTTAACAAATTAATAACTTTCGCATTATTATACCACGCGCAATGTCGTAGTCGTTACATTTGCGAGCGAAACAATCGTATACACAATTTTCCTGGTCAGCAAAATGTTAGCAGATTGCCAGCAGATTTATCAGAAGCCCACACCAATACCATAGCCATCTGTGCTGGAGCTCCCTAGTACACGTGTACTGGACTACACGTGTAATCCGTGTTTTAACCCGTGCACACGAATTTAAAGAATCTCCATATACGCGAATCCGTGAACACGTGAATGCGACATGTGTTTCCGAACATCCGTGAACGTGACACGTGTGCACGAATACCCGTGTATGCAACATATGTAAACGTGTAGCCGTGTATACCTCAACGGGGAAAAATATTTAAAGAATTATGTGACAAAATCTGGATAAAACTTGGAATGCTGGAATTGTGCGTATACACGTGTCGAGTAACATATGCAGAACTAGGGGTCTTTCATCAAATTTTGACAAATACTTGCACACGTACACGTGAATCTTAACCCTTTGCACTCCGAATTATATTTCATCTACTGGTTTGACTTGAAAAACTGTCGAGTGAGACTCGACAAAGGAGCTCCTGAGATAAAAACTGATGTCGAGTCACACTCGACATAGGAGTGCAAAGGGTTAAAACACGCAGCCAATCGAAAGCTCTAAATTCTGTGTCCGCATTTGGCTCTTGTTTCGGCAACAGAGTCCGCAAAACATACGTTGTCAACGGATCGTCGGCAGAAATCGAACAGGCCCAGTTATGTCGGCAGACTTTGTCGCATTTCTACCGACACGCTGGCAACGTGTAGAGTATATCGGTTTCTGCGTGCAATCTGCGGTGCTTCCTGCCTTCGAAATTTGTAGCGGGCATTCGACGGAATCTGTCCTGGCAGATTTTGGCTATCTCGCACGCTACATCGCGTAACGTTTCAAAGTGCCAGGAACGCGAGTAACAACTGTCGAGACGTATAGATCAGTAGCTCGGATCTGCAACATTTCGCCAGCGGAACAACGTTCAGTTAAATTCCATTTAATTCATGACTTTCTGAGGAAGACGGGAAATACGTACCGCTCCTTATTGTTCGCCGATCGCTCGTCAGCACGACGGTCGAGCGACTGTCAACGCAACATTTTGCCGCCGTCCGAAAGGGAGGTTAGGAGCGCACGATCATATGCGCAGCGCACTTCCTCAGGTGCTGCGCTTCCAATGGCAGCAACGCGTTCCGCGCGCGCTCCTTCACCGCGCAACCTCCGTGTGAAGTACAAATAGTGTCAGCTGAGCGCCCACGATTGGCTAGCCGGCCCCGACTGTCTCGATACATCGAGAATCGCGCTTCGATATTCTTCGAATCACAGAGCCGTTCACGTCGGACGCGCGGCGCGTCGCGAGGAGTCGTCACGGATCGTATCTTCCGCGATTGTCGTCGTCGCAGAAAGAGTTTCTCGCGTTCCCGCGCGAAAAAGTGTCTCATCGCGATCGCGCCTCTCGCGAAATGTATCGCATACGTGGTTCGCCGCGGTAATTCGCGACGGGGATCGCCGTTGAACGCCCGGACTCGTGAGGACGACGGGGACGCCGACGTTGCGAGGAATTCGGACAAGATGCCCGGCGGACGTCTACTTTTATGCCTTTGTTTCCCAGGTACAGCGAGGATCTTGCAATCGCCGCACGTTCGTTGTCAAGTATGTGAATGCTATTTACAATTGGCGTAATGTTGGTCATTGATTAAAAATGATATCTTCGTATCCGGCTTTGTCTCTTAACTAAAAATTCGTGACGCAGTGATAGCACAATTTATCGACACCGTACATCGTTAAGGGCCCTGTAGCGCGATTCTGTAACTCGTTATGTCGTCGTTACGGGCTTTGCGCAGATCTAATATACCGTAGAAAAGCTGCGCAAAGCCCGTAACGACGACACAACGAGTTACAGAATCGCGCTACTGCGTCCACGACTTGGCCCAAGTTCTAGTTTCGAGAAATGTATGCGTGTATGCTATTTCATAAAAGTTGATTGGCTACACATTTCGCGAAACTTGGACCAAGTTCTAGCAAATTTGTCCTCGTTCTGGCGGCTACAGTTGTCGAAATCATCGTAAACCCCTGGAAGGTGGCGCCGCCCAGCGAGCGAGCATGGAAACAGAACGCTGCCCTATAAAATTTGAATGTACTTGAACGAAAAGTAAAATCGATGCGATAAACGATCGGCTCGTTTATAGACAGAGAATAAATGTATTCAGTCTCCTGAGATACATCAATATTAATCTCGAGATAAATCTTCTATGGCATTATGTAATTTCTTCTATTGTTAGATTCCGAGGACTAAATGAATCCATCACGGTGAGAAATATTTTATACAATTGTGCGAAATTTGATTTTCACATAATTACGTAGACATACTTACCTCTATGTCTGCTTCTTATCTGACGGGGATATTTGACTTACAGTACTATTGCATTTGTAGTGCGACAATTTTTTTTTAAGCGCGTTGATTGGCTACAAGCTAGAAAATTGCTCAACAACTTTTCTAAT